AACGCGAGCCAAACATGCATCCTCGTCACATCCCGCGAAAGTGGTGCACGCACGGGCATCGCCGCGCTACGCAGCATCCGAGAGCTTCTCGATCGATCATGCTGACCCTCTCGACACACTTGATACACCCCCATCTGCCTGTCGCTCACCACAGCAAGTCGCAAGTGTGAGCGCGTGAGCGTCAATTTTTGCACGGCCCTGATCGTGCTCAGCCAGCGGTGCATCCCATCTAGACCCACCCTAGCCCCACATTCGAACAAGCTTTTGGCGTTAGCGGGGCGGATTCGACGTTGAGCAGAGGGCCAACATCGCTCCAGGACAGCAGTATCCAATCACTTGTCAGCAGATCACTGGATGATCACCTGAAGCGTCCTGTGTCAGTCAGTCCTACGAAGCCAGTCTCACCCTCGCACCTCGACGTGTGCAGCATGTCGTCCTTCTTCGCCAAGCAACAGCAGGTCGCCGCCCTGGATCCTCGCCTCGGCGGCCTCATGGCCTCTGCTGGGCTTTACAATCTCAAAGCACTGATCAAGGTGAGTGAGACACTCTGAAATTTTGTCTCCGCCACTTTTGCTTCGTTCAAGCCACTCACGATGCGTGCCCACTGTTCGCAGGCCATACGAGCCTGCAAGACTCAAGCCGACGAGCGAGCGCTGATCCAAAAGGAGTCTGCTCAGATCCGATCCTCTTTCAAGCAAGCCGATCCGTTTGCTCTTCACAACAACATTGCTAAACTGCTCTATATCCACATGCTGGGCTACCCAGCTCACTTTGGTCAGATAGAGTGTCTCAAGTTGGTAGCTACGCCCAGGTTCACCGATAAGCGTTTGGGATACCTGGGCATCATGCTGCTGCTCGACGAGAACACCGAGGTGCTCACGCTTGTCACGAATGGTCTGAAGAAGTGAGTAGCATGCGCTCGTGCCTTTGTTAACGGGGCCCTTCGATGACGCAAGCGACCCACATGTGCTGACCCCATGTCTTGCGCCTGGCAATTCTTGCAGCGACATGGAGCACACCAACATGTATGTGGTCGGTCTGGCTCTTTGCACCTTCGCCAACATCGCATCGGAGGAAATGTCTCGAGACCTCTCAGATGAAGTCAACAGGCTGATGGGCAGCACCAACACCTACATCCGCCGGAAAGCTGCTCTCTGCGCGATGAGGATTGTTCGCAAGGTGCCCGATCTGCTGGGTAACTTTACCGGGAGAGCCAGACAATTTTTGTCCGACAAGAATCATGGTGTCTTGCTATGCGGGGTCACCCTGGCCATCGAAATTTGTACGCAGGACGAAGAGGCTCTGGCAGAGTTCCGTTCGGTGAGTGCATCGTCCTGGCACCTCCACTGCATTGCGCATACATTTACCCTCGCATCTAATTCTTTGAGCACAGACTGTGCCGCTACTGGTCAGGCATCTCAAAGCCTTGGTGACCACTGGCTACTCACCCGAGCACGACGTCAGCGGCATCACCGATCCATTCCTGCAATGCAAAATTCTACGTCTTCTTCGGCTGCTTGGCAAGGGGGACGCCGCGGCCAGCGAAGCAATGAACGACGTCCTCGCCCAGGTAGCTACCAACACCGAAGCGTCCAAGAATGTCGGCAACTCCATCCTCTACGAGACTGTCCTGACTGTGCTGGAAATTGAAGCGGAGAATGGGCTACGGGTCATGGCAATCAACATTCTTGGAAAGTTCTTGAGCAATCGGGACAACAACATCAGGTGCGTGTATGCGCGCCCTTCACTGCTGCTCGGCTTGGCGTCTGAGCATCCTCTCTGTCTGCATAGATATGTGGCGCTCAACACTTTGAACAAGGTCGTGTCGATGGATACAAACGCAGTCCAGAGGCATCGCAACATCATCCTAGACTGTCTGCGCGATGGTGACATCTCCATCAGGCGGCGGGCACTTGAGCTATCCTATGCACTGATCAACGAAGCTAACGTGCGCGTACTGACACGGGAGCTCTTGGCATTCTTGGAAGTAGCGGACAACGAATTCAAGCTTGGCTTGACCACTCAAATTTGCCTTGCTGCCGAGAGGTTTGCGCCCAATCGGCGTTGGCACATCGACACAGTCCTGCGGGTCCTCAAACTTGCAGGCAATTACGTTCGCGAAGAGGTCCTCTCCTCTTTCATTCGCCTCGTCTGCCATACCCCCGAATTGCACGGATACACAGCTCAGAAACTTTTCACGGCGCTACACGCAGATTTCTCTCAAGAGAGTCTGACTTTGGCTGCGGTCTGGGTCATTGGGGAGTTTGGAGAGAGCCTATTGCAGGGAGGCACATTTGACGAGGAGGAGGCGCCCAGAGAGGTGAGTTCCCTTCAATTTTAGACCCCAAATCATGACCTGGCGCCCCTGCTCACCGGTAACGCACCACCAATCCCGGCGATTGAAGCTCAAAGCAAAAGATGTCCTCGACCTGATCACGTCTGTGCTCGACTCGCCATACGCAAATTCGCATATTCGGCAGTGGGTGCTGACCTCTTTGGCCAAACTCACCACGAGGGTCTCAGACGCACAGCAGCAGGCTCGCGTGGAGAGCATCCTGGCTAATCACAACACTAGCGTAGAGGTTGAGATACAACAGCGTGCGGTGGAGTTTAACGCTCTCTTGCGAAGGCAGGACATCAGGGGTGGCGTGCTGGAACCGATGCCACCTCCCGAGATACGCGCTACGGTGGTAGGCACGGTCAGCGAAAAGCGCGCAGTTGGTAGCACAAGGACGGACAAGGATGCATTGCTGGATCTTATGGGCGACGAGATGCCTGCTGGAGCACCGACATCTGCTGCACATCAGACCACTGCCGCACCTCAACAGAGCGCGCAAGATTTACTGGCGGACATCTTCGGAGGGTTGGGAACGGACAACGGAGCTGCAGCGACTACAGCAGCTGCTTCACCTGTGCAACAAGCTAGCTCCAAGAGCTCCATCAACGACATCATGGGTCTGTTTGGAGACTCACCAGCTGCCCCTTCACGCCCGGCGCCCTCTTCGAACGGTTTCGGCGGATTGGGCGGGGCGTCCAGTCCTCCACCTGGTGGTGCCGTGGCAAATGACGGCTTGGCGGGACTGGACATATTCGGCTCTTCAGGCGGAAGTGGACTATCTGGCCCGTCTCCCTCTACTCAGCCCATGCAGCAATCAAGGCCAGCGGCTGCCTCTCCCCCTCCCGCTATGTCCGCGCCTGCACCATCTGCGACGAAAGCCTACACAGCTTACGATCAGAATGGGTTGAGAATTACCCTCACCCCGGCCGTCAACCCCGCTAGAAAAGATATCGTCAACATCACTGCTCGATTCGAAGCTTTAGGCGGTGAGGTAGAAGGCGTCAACTTCCAGGCGGCCGTTCCGAAGGTGAGTACGATGCGGTTCAGGGTCAAGTCATGGAGCGTTGTGACTGATTGAGCTTGCTACTTCCTCTCCTCACAGTCACAAAAGCTGCAGATGCTCGCGATCAGCAACAGCACGGTAGCGCCTGGCAAGATGGAAACACAGCAGCTTCGAGTCATGACACCAGTGGGGGTAAGTTGCGCAGCTCAGAGTGTCTCGCAGCTCGAGGTTCGCTAACGCCGCTTCCACCCAATCTCTTCTGTCCACCCAGGCACAGGTCCGATTGAGACTCAGAGTAGGCTTCTCGAAAGCTGGACAGCAAGTTCAAGATCAGGTCGATTTTTCAGGTTTTCCTGCAGATCTTACCTCCGCCTGATCCATCTTCCGAGCATTGCTATTGATCTTGTCGACGTGTCACGCTGGCTGGGCTGCAGCAAATCCGGCAATCCGCGGTCAATGCATCACCCACGTCCTTCACTCTCATGCTCTAGACTGGGATGAAGCCCCGTATCGCAAGTTTCGAGTTGCTGATCTTTCACATTGCGAAATGTCGGTGGAGTGTCATGATTTGCGCCAGCAAGTCGCACCTCGTTCAAGGAGACAGAGGACACAGGGCTGGAGACTAGTGGGAGATCATGGTGAGAGAGAAGCAATTTGGAAGGATGTCGATAGGACGGCCAAAATCAGAGGCTTGGCCGCGGCATTTAGGTTCATCGGGAGGAACTGACGCGGAAAACACGGCGTGCTATGT